TTTTGTGTGTGTTTGTGGGTGAATTAATTTGTTTATTTTTTTAGCTCCCACCAATAAGTGAGAACATGTGGTATTTCTTTTTCTCTGCCTGACTCGTTTCACTTAATATTATTCTTTCAAGGTCCATCCATGTTGTTGCAAATGGCAGTATTTCATTCGTTTTTATAGCTGAGTAGTATTCCATTGTGTAGATATACCACATTTTCCGTATCCACTCATCCGATGATGGACATTTGGGCTGATTCCAGCTCTTGGCTATTGTGAAGAGTGCTAATCTATTTTACTCATAACTTACTATCTATTTTACTCATAACTTACTCACAGTTTTCACCAGCCATAAGTACCTACTGTATCCCCATAAATTATGTGCTCATGGGAGCTATAAACTGTATTCATTAGGGGGAGCATATTCATATCCTTGAATCTGATAGATCATTTATAAATTGTATGGTATTATGTATTTTTTTAGTGCTTTAGTGATTTCTGAAGCACATTCATATATATTACACAATTAATTAAATCCTCCCAAAATCCTAAGTAGTAAATGTTGGAATGCAGTTTGTATGAGCACTTTTTCCTAAAGAAAAACTGAACCACAAATGTTCAAACTTTTTCCAGGTTTTCTTTCTCAATAAAAGTGGACACACACACATTTTAGAACCCATTCTTTTTCCTCTATGCCTACATAATTGTCACCATGTAGATGTCCATGCAATTCCTATTTACCTCTACTGGTGTGTAAGAAATTAAGAAAACTAAAATTGAGAAAGAAACCAGATCCAAAATTAGTGATTCTGACAGCCAAAATGATTCTGGGTGCACAGAACTGAGTATAAAGATAGAAGTGGCAAGAGAGCAGATTTCAGGCAGGATTTAAGGGAACGAAGGTCACTAGCTAAGAATCTGCAAGTTAAATGAAAAAAGGGAAGGTTTTACTATTATTAGACAAATTAAGAGTACTAGGTCTTAAAGTAGGGGAGTTTATGTTTTCTGCGATGAAAGCTGATTCCTTACATAAAACCAGATTGCAGTGACTGGGAACTTGTGAACCTACTACTTCTTTCTATTTTAAAATAATTGAGTGATTAGATTGTCAAAAGCAGACTCAGTTGAATCTTTTTTTTTTTTTTTTGTCTTTTGTCTTTTTTTTTTTTCCGTGTCCGGCAACGGATCGCAACCCTCAGTGTTGCCCCCGTACCGGACCGGGGACCGGCAACGGGATCGCAAGCCTCGGTGTTGCTCCCGTGCCTCGCTCAGAGCGGGAGCCGGTCTGTATGTGGGATCCGAACCCTCCGACGGGAGCGCCGCCGCGCTTCCCAAGCGGCGCACTATCCAGTGCGCCACCAGGCCGGCCCCTCAGTTGAATCTTATAAGCTGTTTCATGAGTCTATATTTACTTGTTCAATAACAATGAGTTTTCATTTCTTCACACTCTAAAACAGATCAAACATATTTTTGATTTTCCATGAAAAAGACTGCTAATGTAAATATTCATTTTTCTGATATGAGGTAAATAGATCTGTCTATAGGCACTTTCCATGATTAAAGCTTATGTCAAAATGTCTTACACTGAGTAAATTTAATTCCATTTTGTAAAAATGCATTATTGCTTCTCACACGGAGAGCAGAGGTTTAGAGGAGATTGACAGTGTCGTGTACTGGTAACTAAAAATTCTTTCTTTTGTATTAATGAGGATCAAAGGTATAAGTTTGCAATCACATACCTCACTCAAGGAGTGTGGAGAAGATTTTATGTGCTGTATGTAGCATCTTTTATGCATCGAAATAATTTACTCGAGAGCAAATTTGGTGGAGGGAGAGGTATACCCAGTCCCCTTCTTTGGAAAGCCAGAGGTGTGTTTGTATTACTAGTTTCAGGATCAAAAGCAAAACAAACAAAAAGAAAAAAAGAGAAAATATAAGACAAAAATGTTGAAAATGTGAATTGGAGGACTCTGGCAGCTCTTTATTTTGATTAATCATAGAACAAGGAAAAGCATATATATTCAATTTTCCGGAAAACACAGATGGGTTAGAAAAGAACGGGAAGAGAATAAATTTGGAACAAAGCATTTTTATTCTTGTTCACCAAAGCCAAGGTATTCATATGTCACTTTAGGAACACGGTTTATTATCAGACTCCCAGCACAGACGTAAGGAGGTTGAGTATAGTAAATGTGAACTGGAATCCTAGCCTTGCCACATTCAAGCTGTAAGAACTTGGATTGATCTTTTTATTTCTCTGAGCCAGTTTAGAAATATTTGCCTTCATTTGGTTCTTTTTTTTTTTCTCCCTCCATCTCTCTATAGCTTAACCAGCTGGAAAAGGCAATGGAAGCAGCCCACACATTTTTCATGGCCAATCCAGAACACATGGAATTGCAGCAGAACATAGAGAATTACAAAACAATGGCAGGTGTCGAAGCATTCAAACTGGTAGATCGAGAAGCCAAACCACACCTGGTGAGCCCTGGGGACCCCTGACCTTACCACATGGAGCTAGGTGCTCCTAAGTTTTATTTGACTCAAAGCAGATTTGTATAAATGGGTATCTCAAATTCATTCTCAATTACCAGTAAGATTTTTTACTTATTATAATTATCAAGGTTAAAAAAAGTTAAGAGAAAATTAATTTTTTTTGAAAATTAAAAAATTTTTAATTAAAAATGAAAAAACTAAAAATGTAAAAATTGAGAGGAAATGAAAATTAATTTAGAAAATTAGTATAATGTGCTGAAAACTAGAATATCATATAAATACGTGTAACCCCCTCTGAGCCTTCACTCCTCTCCAGTGCTTTTATTTTATGCCTGAGAGTTGAAGCCCGTGTGAATCATTCAGGGTCACACTACTGTTTTCTATCGAATCTTTTAAAAGACACATAATTCTTTGTTTAGGAAATAGTACTTGAAATCTCATGTTGAAAGGGTTTTGTTTTTGTTTTTCAATTTTTGACATCACCATTTTCAATGCGTGGCCTTGAAAATCTTTGCAGAAAAAGATGAGAGGAAGATTTCAGATGGAAGACTTTTTTTTTTTTTTTAAATTGGGCAAGGCCTGGAAGAGGATGTCACTTCCCCCACACCTGTTGTCCTGCACTTGCTACATGGCCCCACTTACAGGCAAAGGGAATAGGAAATACAGTCTCATGTGTGCTCAGGAAGAAAATGAAACTCATTGGTGCCATAGCAGTCTAATTTCTTGGCAAGTCCCCTCTCATTTACAATTTATTTGAAGTTGGAGAAGTCACTCTTTATCTCCCAGCACAACCCTTCTCTATCCCTCTGCAGCACAAGAATACGGTACCCCACCTACCTAAATGATCCTGAGTCTGCCTATATCCTGCTCTTCGAAAATACAGTTTTTTCTTTTTGCAGGAAAGTTACAGTGCAGGAGTAAAACATTATGAGGCTGATGACTTTGAGGAGGCTATCAAGTACTTTGAACAAGCTTTAAGAGACTATTTTAGTGAAGATATGGAATGCCGAAGTCTGTGTGAAGGGCCTCAGAGATTTGAAGAGTATGAGTATTTAAGGTATAAAGCTGGACTCTATGAAGCCATTGCAGGTAAAGCTTATTTTTAACCTTGATTTATTTTCCGATTATAAAAATACTACATGCAATTTGTAAAAATATTCCAACACTATAGAAGTATATATTGTACAAACTGAAAGGCTTTTATAAGTCTATCCCATCCAGTCTCCCATAGCTAAATTTATGTAGTTAAAACTTTGGTGATTGTCCTCTCAAACTTTTTGAGTGCATTATGTAAATATTTATGTATTTATTCATAGTTATTGTTTTATTTTTCATAAAAATAGGGCAATACTATAAATAGTGCTTTTCAACATACTTTTTGTTTGTGTTTTATTTTATGCTTAACAATATATTGTGGACTTCGTCTCATGTAAGTACATGTAGATCTACCATATTGCATTTAATGGCTGGTTAATATTCTATTATATTGGTACTTTATAATTTATTTGACCAGTGCTTTACTGATGAACACTAGGGAAGTTGCTGTTTTTTATTATTATAAACAATGTAGTAGTGAACAATTCTGTATAGTCTTCTTCAATTACTTAATAGAGTATTTTATTATATATGGGCATTTAATATATTGCAAAGTGGCATTTAAAATAGTAGGTAATGTGCATTATACAGTAATTGGAGATATTGGCTAGTTAACCATTTATGGGGAAAAGTGGGTTCTCTGATGTACACCATATTCAAAAATAAGTTCTATTTGTGTTAACAATATAAAAGTAAAAAATAAAACTGTTAAAGAAAATGTGGGAGAATATTTGTATAATATGAAGAGAGAAAGCTCCTCTAAACATAACAAAAGACAAAAAAAATGAAGAAACATGTAAACTTTACTTAAAATTTATAAATATGGATTTATACAATAAACTAAGCTAATCTACAAAAGAAAAATGGAAATATTGTAAAATATTTTACAGGCAAAAAGTTAATATCCTTGATATTGTGTGTGTATGTGTGTTTACAGATTAACTTTTTTTTAAATTGTAACATAGTTGATCATACACATCTGTGGAGTGCGGAGTTGAATATCAATACCTGTGTGCAATATCCTTCATATTTAAAGGGAGCATGCAAATTATTATTGGTAATAATTTACATTTTAATTAGTAATAGTAGTAGTAATAACCAACACTTATGTAGCAATTATAACATACCAAGCACTTTGTATATGTATGTCTCTTTTAATCCTCTAAACAGCTCTTTGTAGAAAAATACTATTATCTACTCTCCTCTCCCTCTTTTAAATGAGGGATTTGTATCTCAGAAATGTGACTAAAGTGAAGCTGGGAATCAAACCTAGGTTTTCTGAGTCTAGAACCTATACTTTTAAGGTGTACACAATTTTAAAAATGAGCCAAGTTTAATTTATTCAATAATAAATGTTTACCAAATATTTGTTATCTTCCTAGTTTATATGTATATGTAAAACAATGTTCAAATTTATGTACTTATAGAAATACAAATTAATGAAGTCATTTTGCTCTCACCAACTTCTTCTGTTTCCTGTCTCTTTAAAAAAGCAGCACTCACCTAGTATCTTCAACCAAATCCCAGGAAATTATCTTTCAATTCAACATCTTCCTCAATTCCTATTCCCCTCTGATTGTTACCAAACTTTGATAGATGCTACCTCCTTACAACCCTTACGACTTCCTGGCTGTCTCCACCCCTTTTGCTACCACCCTGGCTCAAATCAGCAGTCTATTTTAACTAAGCCACTGTGATTGCCTCCTTGCAGCCCCCCTGTCCTGTTCAGGTTTTGCAGACGGACACAGACAGAGAGAGTAGTCTCTAAAAATAGAAAATTCTGCTCACAGACTTGCTTAAAATTCACCAGTGGTTTACATTCCATTTGGAATAAAACACAAAAACTTTAGTAAGGACTTTCTTGACCAGGCACTTGTATGTGTTTTCATCCTCTCTCTCTCTCTCTTTGATCTATTGTTACTACATTTCTTTTAATTCCTGCATATGCCATGCTCATTTCTATTTGCAGACTTTCAAAATGTTGTTTTCCTCTAACATTTGGTGAAAGCCCTATATTGTTCAGTGCTCAATTCTCAGTGCCTAAGTACAGTGACTGGCAGATAGTAGGTGCTTAGTAAATATTGGTTAAATAAATGGGTTGATGAATGAATGAATGGAGGAGATGATATATCTGCCAGTCACAGTGCAGAAAAAGGATTAATAATACTCCATGTTTGTGAGAATGTAGATCATAAATTGTTAAGGTTTTTTAGAGAGACAATTAGAAAATAGCTATTAAAATTTAGACTAGGAAGTAGACTGAAAATCAGTATGTCAAATGACCAATTTGTGACACACCAGTTACCCCAAATCAACTCAATTCACCTAAAAGCTATACAATTATCTGAAATACTGAGGATTTTTTCCCCAAAAGTTTTGTTTCCCTGTGCCTGTGCCAGATCCATTTTTCTACATTTTTGTGAGCACTGCTCATTTGAATGTCATTTTTACCTGTTTCACATTATAATTGCTGAGCATTTCTCTGTACTTAATTTTTATTTGGGGATGGGCAGGCTTTTTCTTTATTGTAGTTTACAGTGTTGTGGTTTTGTGGGGATATGTGCCCAGTCTCTACCCCCATGTTCACCTCTATACCTGCCTTTATCAGTGGGATAATCTTGACAAATGAGACAATTTTGACAAATGTCCTAGATCTGGTTTGTGTAATTGGCTCACAGCTTCCCACAGATTAGCATTTAGTGATTGCTCAGGGCCACCACAACATGTCAGTTGCTGGAAAAGAAGAGGGGTCTCCTAACTCAGGGTCTTTAATTCTTATCACAGCTACCACCAACACCACCACAACTTCTAATAAAGAAAAGTGATTTAAAAAAAGAAAAAAGTTATAATCCCTCAAATTCAAATCCAATATTATAAGTTAGAGACGTAAATCCAAATCAAATATTATAAATTAGAGACATAAGTCCAAATCAAATATTATCAATTACAGACATATGGTAAGTCTTCTTGGGAATTTGAAGGATATTAATTTATTATGAGAAGGAAATTTTTAAAAGTATTCCCGCACAAGTGTCTTGGTTCTCAAACTTATTAAGACATTAATTGCTCAATGATATTTGAGATAAAAAAAAAAAGGAGGCAAAGAATACAATTAAGAAAAAGTAATATGACAACTCTCACTATGTAAATTCTTGTCTGGTTCAAAATTGCCCTAAACTAGGACTAAAACTGGCTTTTAAAATACAGAATGGGGGCCGGCCCGGTGGCGCACTGCTACAGTGCGCCGCTTGGGAGCGCGGTGGCGCTCCCGCCGAGGGTTCGGGTCCCACATACAGACCGGTTCCCGCTCACTGGCTGAGCGAGGTGCGGGCGCAGCACCGAGGGTTGCGATCCCGTTGCCGGTCCCGGTCCAGTACGGGCGCGACACTGAGGGTTGCGATCCGTTGCCGGACATGAAAAAAGACAAAAAGGGCAGCACCGAGGGTTGCGATCCCGTTGCCGGTCCCGGTCCAGTACGGGCGCGACACTGAGGGTTGCGATCCGTTGCCGGACATGAAAAAAGACAAAAAGGGCAGCACCGAGGGTTGCGATCCCGTTGCCGGTCCCGGTCCAGTACGGGCGCGACACTGAGGGTTGCGATCCGTTGCCGGACATGAAAAAAGACAAAAAGGAAAATAAAATACAGAATGAATTAGAAAGCCAGAATATTTGAATTTTAGAGTTAGAAGAGACATTAAAAGTTGGAGAAAAATACAAATAGTTCCTGCGTGTAGTTATTTACTACTAGCTATGCTTGCTGGAACTCTAAAAGTTATGACTTTTTTTTCACTCTTATTTTGCTGCTATTTATATCCTGCCTTGAAAAACATCCTCATTCAGATTTTGAGTTGTTGGTGGGTGTGTCTCCCACTTTTCTCTTTTGCTTGTCGTTTGGAATAAGAAGGACTGTGTACCAGAAGGTAAATAGTAATGCGAATGGACAGTTAACTAGGAGAAAACATTTGAAAGTTGTTTGCTGTTGTTTCCTTAAGACATAAAACAGCTAGCTATTTATTTCTGACATGCTAATCAAACAAATAGAACTCATTCCTCTCTTCACTTCTCCCAGTTGGGGTTACTACCAGCAGACTTCAGGGATTCTGTTAGCTGTGCTGTACAGGATGGAGTTAGACAGGTTATGCAAAACTGGCACATTTTCTCTCAAACCAAAAAAAGCATTTCCTTCCTGTTGTGTTTTGGGGTCCTTCTGCATGATCATTGAGATCCAAGCCAAACCTGACTAACAGAGAAGGTTTTGAAAGAAGGCAGTTGTGGTAAATTAAATTGTACTGCTATGAAGTCAAATGACTTTATCATCATCTTCAAGGGAACCTACTGAGCACAAGTATGACGGCAACACCCTCTTTCTGGAAAAGTGCACTTACCTTTATTGTGAAAATCAGGGTTCAGGCAAAACATAGGAGGTGTTTTCTTCTCTGGGACATTAGCCACTTGGGTTTCCTCATGTCGTGCTTTGATGAGATAGAGCCTAGAGCTAATGGGGCCGTGAAAACCCCTACACTTAACATCCTCTAGCTTTCATCCATCTCACTACTTTACCGTCTCTGTTAAAGAATGTACAATGTATTAAAATATGCAATGTCCAAGTGATGGACTAATTGTAATGGGGTAGAATAAGGTTCTGATCAAGAGATGTAAAGAAATAGTGTTGTTATTTTCCTTTAGGAAAATTTGTTTTGAAAATGTTGACAAGGAAAAAGAGCACTTCTGCCTCACTTCTCTGTCTGAACTCTCCATGTACCTGGCAGCACCTTTCTTTGAATTATTCCTTAACATCACCAGAATCTAAACTTCCCATCCTGACTCCATGACCCTCAGGCCATCTAAAGTATCCAGAGAGGCCCCAAAATTGTTAAATAAGAAAATCAACATTCAACTAGGTGTGAGTGGGGTGAAATGTCTTATATCCCTCTCTGGAGAGGTAGAAAAAAGGGTATAAAAGAACATAAAAGTGCAGGATACAGAAAAGAACAGGAGCCAGAGGATTTGGGATTCCTGGTTATCAGATTGGCTGTCACTCTTTTGCAGCACTTGTCTTCAAGTAACCTTTATTTTACTTCATAATGGCTCAAAAGCGCAAGAGTAGGGATGCTGGCAATTCAGATATGACAAAAGTAAGCCATAAAGTGCTCTCTCTAAGTGAAAAGGTGAAAATTCTCAACTTAATAAGGAAGGAAAAAAATTGTATGCCTAGGTTACTAAGATCTATGGTAAGAATGAATCTTTTGTCCATGAAATTGTGAAGAAGGAAAAAGGAATTTGTGCTAGTTTTGCTGTCACATCTCAAACTGCAAAAGTTACAGCCACAGTGAAAGATAAGTGCCTTGTTAGGATGGAAAAGGCACTCGATTTATGGGTGGAAGACATGAATACCCCATGGATAGGAAAGGGTTTGGTACTATCTATGGCTTCTGGCATCCACTGGGGATCTTGGTACGTATTTCCTGCAGATAATGGAGGACTACTGAGCTTTTTCTGTGGAAAGGTTTTACCATCACAAAGTGAGGATAAGGATTTCTCTCTCAGAGTATGGTGAGGTGAGGAATGCCCTGTGTAAACGTGGCTCTGACTTTGAAGTTTGGGCTTTCGGCAGGCAGACGGGGCCGGGGACACACTTCCTGCCTCTTGTCTTCCAGATCACTTCATGCAGGTGCTGGTTTGTCAGCATGAATGCGTGAGGGAACTTGCCACCCGCCCTGGCCGCCTCTCACCAATCGAGAACTTTCTTCCTCTGCATTATGACTACCTACAGTTTGCCTACTATCGAGGTAAAGCGTGGATCATCCTTGAAGACCTTTGTGGGTTTACTGTTCGTCATTACAGACATTGCACGTTTGTGATTTAGTCCTCTGCCGTGGGTGTTTATGTGTTTTCTCTCTCATCTCACATCACTGCAGCTCAAGACAAGAAGAGCAGAAAGTGAAACCATAAGTGGGCAAATACTGTGATAATTTCCTGAAAATTGTACTAGACTGACATTTTATATGATTTTTAAACAATTTTAACTTAATTTTAATAGGTAATATTTTCACATGGTTTAAAGACCAAATATTATAAAGCCTCCCTCTCTTTCCTGTCTCCACCATCCAGTTTCATGCCCTACAACATAATTTCTTATTCACCATTTCAAAATTTTATAGAGAATCAACAAGTACTTACCCAAGCATACAGATTTATTTTTCCTTCTTTTACACAGAAGCTAGCATATTATTCACACTAATTTTACATTGTTTTCTTCACTTAATACGTGTCAGATTTTTTTTTAGTAGGTTAGACTTAGGAAATTACTATTTTCTTAGGCCAAAAGTGGTTAAATTTTGGCAAGTTTATATGGTTCAATTTAATTGTATTAGTATATAGAGATCTTTCTCATTCATTTTTCTTTACATCTGCATATCATTGTACTATAATTTATTTCATGTGTTTCCATACTGATGGGAAGTTGTTTATAATCTTTTGCTATTACAATCAACATTCAAATGAATAATATTTTACATTTGTCATTTCACATCTGTATGCAAATATCTATAAGATAAATATCTAAAAGTACAATTGCTTGGTCAAATGGTTTATTCATTTGTAATTTTGATAGATGTTGCCCAATTTTCCTCCATCTGGATTACATTTTCCATTGCTCATCAACAGAATGTATAAGTAAATTTTGAGATATTCCCTAATCCATTAGGTAAGAATTGATATCTCAACATAGTTTTGTTTTTCTCTTACCTTACTGAGAAGAAGAGAGATTGAGCATAGAATTCAGGTTTCTGAAATTGGTCTTAAATATCATGTTGTTTAATGCCTTCATTTCGCAAAGAAGCAACTTACTTAACGTCACCTAGTTTAGTGACAAGTCATAATTCCTGGTTCATTGCTCTTCTCATTATCTCTCACTATCTCCAGCATCAGTAAAGAAATGTTTCCCTTTTAAAATCATAATAAGAAAAAGTCTTAAGCCAACATTTTAAAGCTACTTTGGCAAAAATCCTCTTCCTTTCCAAAAGCAAAACATTACTCATTATCCTGGCGCTGATGGAAAACAATAAATCATGTATGCACTCAAGCTCCAGTCATGAGAAGTGAGTTCAAAGGAACTGAGAGTTAATTTTTATCATTCTTATTAAAAATCAGAGCCATCTCTGAGCAGATATATCTGGAGGAAAATTCCTTTGAAAGAAATCCAGTGTTGTGGCCTATTTGAAAATAAGACATACAGCATTTAAATTTTTCTCTTGTAATAGCTAAATGTTTCTAAACAATCCTCTTATAATAGCTATTTCTATAACAAAGAGTTTACAGTTAAACATTCTTGTCAGTTCCTTTAGTAGTTTGCTACTGTTAGAATTCCTGTAGTTGTATAGTGAGGGGGTGGAGGGAGGACCCTCCAGAGCATGTGGGGCTCTGAAGGACTTTGCATATAAGTACCAGCTTACCTGAAGGACTTTGCATATAAGTACCAGCTTACCACAAACTCTGCAGCAATGAGAAATAACATTTTAAATCACTTGCATTACTCACACATTACATACAAAATGATATCTATGTATGTTGATCATTTTTGTACAAGGTCATCTTCAGGATGTTTTACTTAACTCAGACTCAGTACAAAAATCAAAATTAACTCGTACAATTCTTCTGTTTATCTGTATTAAATAATATAAATGGTAAACAAACATCTTCAGGTAGACACTTTTGATAATTTATGCAAAACATATAGCACCAAAGCAGACCAAAGGTAATTCCTTTTGAATACCTGAAATCTTGTCCTTCCTTTTGTCTGTGACTATTTCTGCTCACTCTGCTCAACCTCAGTTATCTTCCCTATTATTGATATTTAGTGCTTACCTCTACAGACATGGTGAAGTCTCTCTTTAAAATCCTTTGGGCAGACCTAGGCTGACTCTAATGCAACAACTCCTCGGTCTTTCAGTTGGTGAATATGTGAAGGCCTTGGAGTGTGCCAAGGCCTATCTTCTGTTCCATCCAGATGATGAGGACGTTCTAGACAATGTGGAATACTATGAGAATCTGTTGGATGACAGCATTGACTCAGCATCCATTGAGCCCAGAGAGGTGAGACCAATGTTCTGAGAAGAAACTCTTGATTCTGCTATGTGCTGTGTCAAGAGTGATAGAAATATACCACTGCTATCAAAGATATCTAACAGATTCGTTAGATAGAACTCATTTCCTTCAAACTTTAATTATTCATTCCAGAAGCATTTTCTTCTCATATGTGTCAGCTTGTGAAAATCTGTTGAGATGGGACAGTTTTTTTTTTTTGCAGCTCTGAATGTTTGTTAGCTCATTTATCACTACCTAATCAAAAAAATTTCCATGTGAACATATGTCATATCTCTTACCTATTATTTAAACATAAATTTTCTTTCTTTCTTTCTCTAGGATTTGACCGTGTTTGTGAAACGTCATAAACTGGAATCTGAATTGATAAAATCATCTGCAGAGAGTCTGGGATTTTCATATACTGAACCGGTAAGAGCAAAGAGGAAAGAGAAAATGTTTATTAAAAGAACTAGTCAGTGGAATTCTTACTTATCTTTTTATTCCCCACTCCCATTTGCTGATGATTCTGATACCCTCCTTGAGTTAAAAATTGGAGATATTTGTTCCACATATGAGATGAACTTTAAGAGTTTAATTGATTTTCACTTCAGTGAGGTCCAAAGTCGAAAGCAAATATATTAGTAGAAGTATTTTGTACATGATTCATTTCTCTTAGAATGACTTTGTTTTTCCAAATCTGGATGCAACATTTTACATTTACTCTTAACACCTGTTTATTACCTAACATTAAAGAAATTTCAAAAAGAACAACATCGGTCACAATTATACCCCCCATCATGCTGACTTTACTCTACTTTTCTATGGTGTCTTCTAATTATTGTTTGTATAAAAACATACTTTTTGCAGAACTAATACTATGGTAAAAATAGATTTGTGTCCTGATTTTTATTTTAAAAGATATCATAAGCAATTTCTATATTTGTCCTACTTTTAAAATTATTTTTTAGCTACATATGCAGAGTTGATGTACAATAAATAAATGAACTCTTCTCCTGCTGCTGGACATTTAAATTATTTATTTTTTCTACTATGCTTGATGCATTAAGTATTTTTCTCTCTTATTGAACTACATCCTTCACTACATACCTAGGAGTGGGATTGTTCTGCCATCAAAGGACATGAGGTCCTAAAGTTTCTAAAACTAAATTTCTTTTTTTTTAAAGATGACTGGTAAGGGGATCTTAACCCTTGGCTTGGTGTTTTCATCACCACGGTCTCCCAAGTGAGCTAACCAGCCTTCCCTATATAGGATCCGAACCCATGGCCTTGGTGTTATCAGCACCACACTCTCCCAAGTGAGCCACGGGCCGACCCTGAAACTAAATTACTTTTCTAAGAGAGTTTTCTGACACTTTAAGCACCAGCTGACCACAAACTTCTCAGCAATGAGAAATGATATTTTTAAATCACTCATATTACTCATATATTCTGTACAAAATGATACATCTTTACTGTTTTAATTTGCATTCTTTTGATGACCAGCAAGAATAAATCTTTCCACATATTATTAATTATTTCTCCTCTTCTTTGAATTACCTGGGCATGGACTTTGTTTATTTATCTATTTGTTTCTATGTAAGTTCCTTATATAGTATAAATTATTTTATAATATAAGATACATGTTAATATGTTTATAAAGTAATTATTTGCATATGTTTTTTTCATTTTTCTTAGTTATGTCTTGTTCTCATTGGCATATTTAAAGAATTAGGTTAGTTTTAATGTAATGTATCTAATTTAATACTTCTAATATATTTATATCTGTTCCTACTTACTATTTTTTTTAAATTGCATTATCCCAAGAGACACTAGAAAATGTCACTTATGCATTTTCACGATCTTATACAGATGATTAATCATAAAGGAGTTTGACTGAATGATCTTTCAAGTATCTTTCTGCCACCAAATTCTAAATCACTTTCTTGGACCAAAGGATGGATGCCCAGGCCGATTCCATACTATATTTTTAGTCTATTTGGTCTCCATTTTGTCTTTTCCAAAACTTCATCAACCTTGGCCTTCCTTTTTATTAAATTTTTAAATAAAAATATATTGTATCTTTCTATAGTATGTAACTTTCCTAATATTTTAGGTCTTTTGAGTGTTCTGAGTATATATATTGTATTTTAAATCTTGTTTTTATAAATGATGTTTTAATGACAAAATTACAGTGTGTTTTTTCTCAATTTAAAACAGAATTATTGGATCAGATATGGAGGACGACAGGATGAAAATCGGTGAGTCCTCCATTCGAAACACAAACTTTTTATTTAAGGAAGAAAAAGAGTTCCAAGCTGCAAATTAGGATCTCTGCATCCTGGTCCCAGCTCTTCAGGTCATTTTGGTGTGACCCTGAGTAATTTGTCTTCCTCTCTGGGTCTCATGTTTTTTCCTCAAATGAAGGGGTTGAATCAGGTGATGGCAGAGCACTAACATTCTGAAATTCCAAATCAGATAAAGTTGGATGCTGCTTTTGGATGATGGATTCTTTTACTGTACTTATTTGAAATCAAGAAGTTAAGAAGGTTATACTGCAAGCTAAAATATAGGTATCTCTAACTAAATCAGAAATTAGGAGGACTTGTTTTTTAAAACAGTAAAAGTCAATTTACGTATCTGAATAACTCAAATTTATAGAATGTTTGAGTTCCATGTTTGAGATCACATCATCTGGCCTATTTATTTTTAAATTGGGAAACTAAAGCCCTGATAAGGCAAAAGACTTGCTTAGAGTCTCACCACAAGGGACTGGCAGATTCAGATATTCTTATTCAAAATCTTGAAGACTTTCACTAGGCTTTAAGGATGCAACCCTTGGGTGGCCCAAAATTATTGCAGGATATCCAAGAATATATATGTACACTCAGATTTGTTCAGTCTGTATATATTAAAAGGACATTCTGCTATGGTTTGTGTGTTTGCAAATTTTGACACAAACCTGTGTCTTTTGTATCAGAATAGTCAAGAGCTACTACATTAGAACACAATTTATTTCAATTCAATCATTCTTCGGTGATGCACTCGATGTTCACGGCACAATACGAAACTGTGAGCATTATAAAGATGCACATGACAATTTTTTTCTGCTATGTTGGAACTAAAGTTTAATCTGAAGTTGGTTGAGTTATACATACAATTAATTTTAAGAGAGGATAGTAAGAAGATTTAAAAGAGTGAAATATGCCATACTTCTTGAAGAAATAAACTTCATGGGAGCAGTGACGTTTAATTTGATCTTGAAAGAGGTAGACCAACAAAAATATGAAATATAGAATCATAGACTACCTGGGTAAACTATCGTTTGCCTTTGAACATCTTTATTCAGTGGAAAATTGCCATTTCAATTTTTGTTTGAATGGGCAGAGTCCCTTCAGGAGTGAACGTGGAGGGGGCAGAAGTTTATGGATTGTCAGTGGGAAAAAAGTCATCACCCAAGATAGAACGAGACCTAAGAGAAGGTAAGTACCTGTGTGCTTTCAGTCTATTGAAGAGCATAAGGCTAGACCAGTTCTTATCCAGACAAAGGCAGAACCCAAACTCTGAAAAATAAAGAATAGGACTAAGCTACTACAGTTCATAAAAGTCTGAGACTAAGACAGGAATATCTCAGGTTTGTATATCATCACCTTTGGTTTCCAACAAAAGTGCTTCTAAATTTAGTCCCTCATCGTTTCCCACAGGAATCCTGTGAGTTAGGCAGGGACTGTATGGTCACGGTTAAATACCTGTGGCTTATCGAGGTCACGTGACTTACTTCTGTCACAAAGCCAGTGAGTGTGTATCAGAGGAAAGTGGAGAGAACTCAGGTCATGTGGAACGCTATGTTAGTTAACTTAAGACACTTGAAGCACATAGACCTGAGCAGAGCTTTCAGAGAAAGTGGAATTTAGACTGAATAAACAGGTGTGGGGAAAGAGTCATTCTAGTGGGTAAAACAAATGTAGCAAAGGCACAGAGATGGAGGGAGAGAACATTATGTCCTACTTATATAAGATCAAAATTAGTGGAGACAAAGATGGAGTGTTGCCAAAAATAGTTTTTAAATAGAGCCAACAATTGTTATACTAATAAACTATTAGCAATACTAGTACTAAGAGCCGTAGTAATTCTTAACAATTACTGTTATTTCTGTATGTTTTATCATTTTTCAGACACAATTCATTTTAATACTAGCGGGATCTCATGTGAGAAGACTTAGTGACTTCTCCAGAGTCTCACAGCTTATAGCAGGTTAAGCAGACATTTGGACCTAGACTTTTGAATCCAAATCCTATTTTCTCTTCGTCACCGCTGCATGGAACATAGAAGTTTCTAGATAACCACAACATATCCTCTATTGATTAAATAATTGCAATATAAGAAGAGGCTTTCAAAAACCTGCATTGAGAAGAAGTACGAGTACAGTGCAGTGCTCCTTTCCGCAAGAGAGCTTGTCGGCACATTCCTCCAGCTGATTTGAAAACTCAGGCTGCACAGTTCTCGCATTTCCCAGCCCTTTCCTTCCTTAGCTTCCAAGTCAGTATGAAGCAGTAAACAGGATAATGTGCTCATCTAATCTGACCTGGACCTCAGTTTGTAGCCACAAAGCCCAAGCCGTTTTACAACTGCCAGAGAGCTGCATGTCAGCCAGAGTTCATGTTGCTTTTTAAGCTGAGAAATCACCCAGGAAGTGCATGCCAAAAAGCCAGCACTTTGCTGTAAATGTTGGGGAAACTCCAGCGCAATTGCCAAATTTCAAAGCATTTTTTTCTTTTGGCTACCGGGGAATCTGATGTCCAGCAACTGCTTGGAAGGTTAAAGGGAAGAGTAGAACAGAAGACAACATGTGATGGAGAAAGATCATGACTGATAGGGCTACTCAAATCACAATTTCTGAAGAATTTTCTTAGTTGAATTGTCCAATGGATCCTAAAATGTTCTCTGGGAAACTACTGGTCTGAAGGAAAAAGAAACTTGTTTTTCTACTGTACTCCCACTCAACAGAGAACACTTCAGGGACCTGATGTATAGGGGTTTTTTTTCTCCACACATCAAACAGTTCTCTAGCAGACAGCAACTGGGTGTCCTATAAATCAATTGAACTCTGATGCTATGTACCTGGAGATAGGGTCAGATCCCACAGACTGAGGGCTTAGCCCCACAAGACTAACCCCACTTCAGAGGCCAATTGCAGGTAGAAGGTTGTCATCTGTACTTCTGACCGACCTTCTGACCAACTGGCTACAAACTGGGGTTCCTTCAACCCCCACCTTGGATTCGATTAATTTTCTAGAATGGGTCACAGAACACAGGAAAACAGTGTGTTTACTGGTTATTGTAAAAGATACTATAGGATACACATGAACAGCCAGATGCAGGGGTACGTAGGGCAAAGTGTGAGGGGCGTGAGGAGCAGAGCTTCCATGCTCCCTCTGAGCAAACCACTCTCCCAAAACCTCCATATGTTCAGCAACCAGGAAGCTCATCAAACCTTGTTCAAGAATTTTTATAGGGCGAGCCCGTGGCGCACTTGGGAGAGTGCGGTTCGGATCCTATATGGGGATGGCCAGTCACCGCTCACTGGCTGAGCGTGGTGCAGCCGGTCTCAAAAAAAAAAAAAAAAAAAAAAAAAAAAAAAAAAAAAATTTTTTA